TTTCAAATAAAATAACAAATAAGGATCAGTAGATGTATTGATTGTATTAATTCAATTGGTAATGCAAACAATACATGTCCATTTTTATTTGTAATGATCCTTGTCCGTGATGGCTTTGGGGACAAGGATAATTAATGATGAAGTCATTATTAAGATCACACAATAAATAATGAAGTCATTTTTAATAACAGTACATGTATTGATTGTATTCATTTAATGATTAATTGATATTTGACATTCAAGGCATGTACATATTTATTTACAAAGATATTTGACCGTGAAAATACTGTAGAACAGGGATAAATTGTGGTACAGGTATTTCACGGAGAAAGGAGTGAAAGGTAAGTGATAATTGCTTCTGTATGACACAGGTATGTATTTAATAGATAAGTAATTAACAGATAAGATAAATGTGAGATAAAATAAGATAAGGTAAGTTAATAATAATGATAGTATAACAAGAGGTAAAGGTAAACAACATTATGGATATGTACTTATGTAAATAAGTACAGGTGTTGCAGTTACTTGGTACATGAAAGGTACTGTGACATGTACTCTGTGGATGACAAAAAGCGTGGCAGCCCAGCACTTATCATATAGATGTAAGACATACTTGATTTGGTTTTCAGAAGACAAAAACCCCAAGATTACATCTACTGAAAAGTTTGAAAAAAAATGTCAAAAAAGAGAGATAAATGGTTAAAAGAGAGATAAATGGTTGTGGAAAAATGACTCACAAACATTTGGGAAAACAGCTCCCCAATTTTGTGGATATTGAGAGGACCAGTACCTCTTGCCTGTCCTGGGCCCATTGGGGGGAGTTGTTTTCCGACTTTTCCTAAAGGAGAGGATGGGGGTTGTTTCACAGTAGAGATTTTGTCAGTACCCGCCATTTGGTGGGTACCACCCGCACCCACCCCGCACCCGCCCTGGACCCGCCAGGCAGTGTCGGGTGGCTTTTTTTGGGCAAAAAAACAGGTGGTCCTTCTGGTCAATGAGGTACATGTACCTCATTGATTGGAAGGAAACCCTTCCAATCAGCAAGGTGATGTACCTTGTTGATTCAAAGGGTTTTCTTCTGATCAATAAGGTAAATCCTTGTTGACCAGAAAGTACACAATTGTTGACCCAAAGGCTTTCCTTCAAGTTCCAGTCAAACTGGCCGGGAGGAACCCCTCCCAGCCTCAAGGCCTTTTTTTCCCCTTTTTTATTTTATTTTATTTTTTCTTTTCTTTTATTTTTTCTTTTCTTTTCTTTTTTCTTTTCTTTTTTCTTTTCTTTTTTCTTTTCTTTTTTCTTTTCTTTTTTTCTTTTCTTTTCTTTTCTTTTTTCTTTTCTTTTCTTTTTTTTTTCTTTTCTTTTCTTTTTTTTTTTTTTTTCTTTTCTTTTTCTTTTCTTTTCTTTTTTTCTTTCTTTTTTTTTATGTTTTCAAAACAAAATCATAGCCAAAAAAGATCCAAAAAAATCTCAAACAAGATGCAACAGGACTGCAATGAAACTTGCAGCCAAACTAAGTGAGAAAGAATGGGCAAGTACCACTGGTATATACTAAGGTTCCACACTGGTGCCTTGGCGCTGAATTTCACCCATATAACCAAACCCAGGCACCACGGATATTGAGACCAGTGCCGGGTTTTACTGGATTTGAGCCAAACCAAGGACCACAGTCCACTCATCATGCCAAGTAAATGGCAACAGCGTTCCCCCTCAAAGACTCCCAGCAACAGTGCTTCATCACACTCTTCTGACTCCAGCATCAACTCCGACAAGGTCATTGTTTATCAAGAAAAAGTTGAAGATCTTGTTGCTCAGAGAGGAAATCATGGTATACATACCTCAACTCAAAATGTGAAGAAGAGGCTTCAATCATCTGCTTACAGAATTGGATTGATAATAATGTAATCAACATGTGCAATTCTGCTAATCTATTTTTGTCAACCAAGACTGATACAACAAAAAAGAACACTTGATGTAAACACCTCAAATTCTTTCTTTCTTTTCTTTTTCATCTTGCAATAACATTACACCAACAACAAAAAAAAACACTTGCTGTAAAGACCTCAAACCCCTTCCCTTGTTTTCTTCTTCATCTCGCAATAAAAATGCAGAACAACAAAAAGCTTGAGAGGCTCTTTGAACCCTCAGGTAGCCCCTTGAGGCATCTACCCCAAGAAGGGAGGAGTCCGGCCAGATGCTGGATCTCCACAACCCAATCCCAAAACTAGAACTGGTACCCAGGTTTCCCGGAGCTTGCTGGATCTGCGGGGTCCGGTTTGGAACCTTACACTCACTACAAGCAATACCCATTTTGCCCCAAAAATAAAGGGCAATTTGGGTGGGGGAAAATGGATCAATTTTCTGGAATTTTTTTCCAAAATGCCTCAGGAGTAGAAATTAGGCTAAACTGAGCTATTTTAGCCCAGAGATAGAAATTCATCAAACATTGCGGAATGAATTTTTAGCTCATTTGAGACATTTTTATTTTTTGGCTAAAATAGCTCATTTTAGCCTAATTTTTTACTCACGAGGCATCTTGTAAAAAAGTGCCAGAAAATTGATCTATTTTCCACCAGCCAAATTGCCATTTTGCCTTGGGGCAAAATCAGTACTGTTTGTAGTGACTGTACCCGCCAAAAGTACCAGCAGTACCTGCCAGGCGGTGCCAGGTGCGGTACATGCAGGTACCTATTTTCTTAAAAAATTGAACAGGTACCCAAGGACAAACAAACAATCTCTATTTCACAGAATTAGACCTCTTTCCAAGCAGCTTAACAAACTACTTTGCAACAGATTTAGCAAGAAGTCTTTCCCTCTTGACAAGCAGTTTACTAGCCTGGTGGGCAAGAGGAAGGCCTCTCAGAAGCTGTGCAGGTCATGAGAAGCCATGCACATCTCCATCACAACTCCCAAGTCAGAGGACTGTTTTAATCCACCAATTACTGTACTCTACATAGGTCCAAGCGCAAAACAAAATCATGGGAAAACAACTCCCAACCCCTTTGGGAGAATCTGGCAAACAACTGCCATGGCAGTCCTAGGACAGTCAAGGGGTGGTCCATGGTCGGGCCTCTTGACATCCACACATTCTGGGAGTCATTTTCCCAAATTTTTGTAGTTCTTGTTGGCTCAAAAAAAAAAAAAAGAAACTCAAGAAGCAAGGCAGATGAGTTTGAATAAGAAAAAAAAAAGGAATTGGACCATAGGAGTTCATATTAATCATACACACACTTATAAATATATATATATGATATAGAGAGATAGAGAGAGGGAAAGAGGGAAAGAGGGGAAAGATAAAGACACATGGTTGAGAAAGAGAGAGAAAACACACAGATCACAGCTTTTTTTTTGTTTTTTTTTTGAAAAAAAGGAACAGGAGGAAGAGACGGGATGAGAAGGAAGGTATGTATGAGAACATAAAGAAAAAAAGATGACAAACACATTGGAAGATTGTTCAATCAGCTCTTGAATAGATATTTATTTATTTATTTATATAATTAAAAAGATGACTAAGAACATTAATTTGTAAGCTTATCTTATCTAACTTGATCACAAAAAAAAAGTCCACTACATTTTGAATCAATCACTCATCAACAACAAAGCAAAAAACAAATAAATATTTACGTAATCTATCATCATCATCACAACCAAAAAAAACCTAGAACACCATTTATTTTCATTCATTTGATGATTTCAGTGAGTGTTGATTTTGTCCTTTTCTAGGGTTTTGTGTGTTGATTTGAAGAAGAAGAAGGAGAAGGCTGAAGAGGAAGAGGAAGAAGATAATGATAATGATGAGAGGAGGAGGATGGAGGATGATGAAGAGAGGCGTTGATGGTTGAATGAAGATAAGAGAGAGAGAAAAAAAGAGGAAGAGGTAGAAGTAAAACAAAACAGAAAGTTATAATACCCATCAACATAATTAAGAAAACACGTTTAAATATAAATAGGGAGAAGCTAAGAATCAAAACAAAGAACACACAAATTTGAGAAGAAAGAGAGAAAGAGAGACAAAAAAAAAGAGGCAAGACTCAAAAGATCGGACTATCTTTCCTTTTAGAGCCGAGATGATTAGAAGAGACGCCGATGACAGGGGCCGAGGAAGCCGACGAACCAGCGGTGTGAGAGGCGGCGGATTTCTTGTGACTCGAGTCGTCTCTATTATGACTCAAGAAGCGAGAGGTGAGACTAGGTTTGGAGGGGTTAGAAGAGTTGGGATGATTAGCGGCGGAGTTAGGGCGTTTAGAGGCGGCCCCGTTGGCGATTTGGGAGGGCCGAGTGGCGACGGGAGGGGCGGGAGCATGGGAGCTGCGGATGTGTTGGAGCATGCTCGGGATCCGCTTCATCCCCAATCCCACCGTGTCCACCGAACACGTCCTCGCCGGCCCGGCGGGCTTCCGAGGCGATCCTGGCGCAGTCGCCGAGTTGTTAGTCGGTCTTAAGAAATTCGAAACGAGCGTCGAGGTGGACGCCTTTTTCTTCAGGAAGGGCGACGGAAGTGAGTCGGGATCGGAGTGGTTATATCGCGGCGATCGATGGACGGCCGAGGGAGTGACGTTATGATTAGATGGAGGAGCGGGGCCGCCGGCCGGATGGAGATGCTCCGCGGGGCCCGCCTTGCCCGTCCCCCCACTCGGCTCACCCGCGAATGGCTCACCGCTGTTCGTGCTGTTGGTACTCCCGCCCGGCGTCGAGACACTCCCAATCGTGCTCGTGGGCCGTCGGTTTGTCATCAGTTGGGAGGAGATCGGGTTGCTGGATGGGCCAACTAACAATCCATTGGCCGACTCACTTCGACGCGAAAGTCTTCGGCTGCGTGGCCCGCTGGGATTGCCCGGGGTCGTCCCAGAGGACCCCTTCTTATCAGTAGCCATTTTTCGGATCGAAGAGCCGCCGTCCTCGGAAGGGCTGATAGACTCTGTATCATCGTTGGACTTCAAGCGACTCAGGAGACTGTAGGTCGACTTGAGACTGGCCATCGATTTGCTAGACTTGACTTGTCGGAACGGCTTGGGATCAGAAGAGACGCTCTGAGGGGTCGAGCCGAGAACACTGGGCTCGTTAGGGCCTGGTGCGAGATGTTTGAAAGGTGTGTCAAGTTTCATAGGAGAACCATAGCCAACAGTCAAATTCGAAGGGTCCATCATGGTCGTGTCTGCTTTTTGCATCGACAGTCGGGTGGCATGGACGTAATTAAGAGTAGGAGTTGGGGAAGGTGCAGACCCACTTGTAAATCCGGGTGGATTCAACGATAACCTTCGCTCGGCCAATGGGATCCTCCGAGGTTTGGTCTCCGCAATGATCTCCGAGTCTGATCCTTCGGCCAATGTCAAGTGATCCGTCTCCGGTGTATCTAGAGCTTGATTCTCATCCTGTAAGGCTCTTTCAATCCGGTTGGCATGTTCGATGACCTCCATCGCGTTCTGGAACTTGGCCTGAAACTCCTGCTGTAGGACCAGATGGTTTTCCTGTTGGGTCTTGAAGTATTCCTTCTCCCTCTGAAGCTTACTCTCTCGTGACTTGAGTTTATTTTCACGTTCCTCTAATGCTTTCTCACGTTCCTCTAGTTCGCTTTGCTTTTTGGTCAATTCCCGGGCACTGAGAATAAATTAAAATGACCAAGGTAAGCAAACATGGAAGATAAATTTTGGTGTGGATGACTCACTATCGATGCACTTCCAAAACACGGGTCTGATGCTTGACTTGTTCGACCATCAAGATTGTTTTAGCGTCTGGCCTGAGTTTAGGCTAATGCAAGGAAAACAAAAATGAGTGATAAGGATCCCAGAGATATTACAGACTGATTCATATAGCAAGAGGAGTGAGAACATACGTCTTGACGTAACATGGATTTGATGAGCGCAGTCAACTGAGAGGAGTAACCCCTAGGCAGATTAGGGATCTTGCCCTCTCGAATCAATTTAGCCAGTTCTGGCTGGGTCTGAGCTTGATGAAAAGGAGGGCTGCGAGAAGAAAAGTGATGGTCAGCTAAAATCTGATTGATCAGTGCAATTTTTTTGTTCGGGGATCACTTAACTGCCAGGCACATAATTCGTATATCAGGCAACCCAGAGCCCAGATGTCTGATTTCACGTCGTACTGTTGGCCATTAATGAGTTCAGGAGACATGTAATATGGTGTCTGAATCAAGGGGAAGGATATATACATATATATATGAGTTGAGATTTCCAAGAGAAAAGAAAGTGGATGGTAAGAATTGATGACGTACTCCGACATAAGTATTAGTGAAGGCGGCCATTTCCATGGCTTTACTGAGGCCGAAGTCGCCCAGCTTGACGAGACCAAAGTGATTGAGGAAGACGTTCTCCGGTTTGATGTCACGATGGAGGATGATCGGTTTCTTCTTGCCGCCCTCCTCGGAGACTTCGGAGGAGTGACAGTCCGCCAGGGCGGTGGTGATCTGAGCCAGATATGACCAGATCGTATCTTCACTCAGATGGACTTGGTCTCTCCTACATCGACTGATGACTCCTGCTAGATCACCTTGAGAGCAGTCTATTCCTCCCCACAAAAAAAAGACGCGTCAGATTGTCTCTCACGTTGGTTTGATTTTGAATAAGAATGAGAAAAAAAAGGTAGGTGTAGCTGACATTCCATGAGGATGTAGAGCATGAAGTTCTGTTTGTCGACGTAGCGTTCGAAGTACTTGACGATGTGTTCGTTCCCTCTGAGGTTCTGTAGGATGTTGACCTCTTCGCCTAGTTGCCTGAGGTCGCGTTCGTCCATCCTTCCATAGTTGAGCTCCTTCCTGGCAAGGATCAGTCCATCCGAGGTTCGTTTGACCTTCCTGATGATCCCAAATGAGCCGGTTCCGATGATATCTAGTGGTTCGAATTGGGTGTCCATGGATTGAATGGTGTTTGAGTTTGACTGAGTGCTCTGTTGTTGTTGTTGTTGTTGCTGGTCAGTGGTGTTGTTTGAGTTGGATGATGGTGATGGTTGTTTGTCGTTTGAGTGATTAGCTGCTTGTGCTGCCATGGGTTGGAGTGGAAGTGTTGTTCTTCGTGCAGCAGTGAGTGTTGGCATGATAAGCAGTTGTTGATGATGATGTTGTTGTTGTTGTTGGAGTGAGTGAGTGAGTGGTTGTTGTTGGTTCTTGGAGGAGGAGGAGTGCAGAGTGGAAATGGGGAGGGGGAGATGGTCAAGAGCAGTCAATAGGATGATGTACTAGGGACAAAACCCATGGCAAAATTGGGATTATTTATGTAAAAAGAAGAGCTTCAACACACTCAAGCTCACTCAACCGTCATCGATCAACCAGCAAACACACCACAGACCCAAGCCAACAACAACAACATGGGCATACATTTATATTATTTACTTGGAATCTAGACTCATACCCACACAGACACACACAGTGTTTCCTCTTGACCAAAAACTCGCGTTTCTTTTTTCCTTTCCCTTTTCTTGAGGAGAAGATCATGATGGTAATCAGTCAAGACGCGTCTGATAGTAACCAATTCAATCCATTGAATTCCCTAATGAGAGATCGGAATCGCAAGAGATCACAAATCGGATCATCAGATATGACAGCTTGTCAGAAATCAAACAGCTACAAAATCAGTGAGTGAGTGAGAGAGAGAGATACATCCGAAAAACACGTGTTGATACATATACAACCGAATTGACCATCCGAGCGAGCGAGCAGCGAACTCCTCTTCCTTACTGAAGATTTTGAAGAGCAAAAAATATATATAGCGATGATCCTGTATCAACCCGGATCTATGTAAGATGGTTATCAAGGAAGTGGCCAAAGATCTCAGTACTTCTTTACACGCTCCTTTTGGGGCAAATGAGAAGTGACCAAAAAGAAGAATTCCTTCAAACTCATTCATGCACTCATAATCTTGTTTTTAATCATACTCATATCTTTTGATGGATCGATGGGCAAAAGACTGAAGAGATGAGGTTTATGTATAACTGAAATAAAGATTGCTCCACAAAACCCTGGAAAATGAAGATCTTCAATAACCGCAGTCAAAACATGAGGTTAATACAGAGATCCCCTGTTTTACGCTGTTTCCATCTGCTGGATGATTACGAAGGCAATGATTGATGCATTTATGTACTCAAAAGTGTGTCCATGGATAAGGTCAAACTTCAGGTTGCGTATTCTTCCAAGCAAATTCGGAGATACTCATGATGGATTTGCAAAGAAAGTCAAAAGAAATCACTATTTTTACGAGAAATACACAAACTCGGATTAAAGAAAAAAAAAACAGAAGGCGCCTTTTTCCATAGAAAAAAGAGACAGAGAAACCAAAAAAAAGAAAAACGATCTTCATACTCATACAAGCAAAACCTAATAGTTAGAAGGCCAAAAAAAACAAAACGGGGTTGAAATTGTTTGATTAGTGTGAGGCAGGGAAGGGAGGAGGGTTAAGAGGGATGGAGCAAGGTACTTACACCATTCACACATCCATCAAGTTCCGGGTTATTTGTAACTTCTGTTGAGTGAAAATGAATGGACGATTTCGAAAGCCAGCAAGTCATTAACATTTTTAACAAAGGAACCTCTAGGGAGGAAATGAGAGAGAGAGAGAGAGAAAGACTAACGAGCATATTTGGCCCACACGACCTTCCCACCCGTGGTCACCAAACCCAACTCAGACACATTCACCTCGATCACCGTCCCTTTGGTAAGCACGCCTAATTGGGTGTACATCGGTGATTGAGGGTTCTTCTTGACTCCGATGATCGGCAATTGAAACGTCGCTTGAAGTTCGGCTGTTCAAATGTAATCGATGTTCAACTGACACATTTCTGTAACGAGTTGTACATCTCTTACTTACGATGTGTAATGTTGGCTTTCTTGACTCGGAGACCCATCGGTCGGATAAATCGCTCCATCTTCACCGGCTTACGAGTGAAGTTCTCAGGGACAAACGTAGCTAGAATGAGAGAATTGATCAGAGAGAGAGGAGAGACAGAGATGAGAAAAGGTTTGTTTCCATCTTGAATAGATTGAACTTTTTTGCTGACCTTTGGTGACCATTCTTTTCCATGCCTTTTGTTTCCGTTTACCGGTTTTCATGACTTTGAACACTTCATCCTCAGCGATTCCACGAACTTTAGGCAACGGCACCGAATACTTTCCAGCCTTCTCCTTCCGTTTTTCCTTGAGTGCACTACTCAAAGCTTTCGCTTTATTCTCCTTCTCTCGATCCAACAGATAAGTGGGCAGGGCTCCTGAGCCGTCGTCGGCAGTCGACTTCGTCTTGACATCCTTCTTCTCATGCTCTCGGATCCGTTTCTTCATCTCCACCTTCTCGCTGTATCGTTTGGCATGCAGCAGTTTGGCCTTGTGGCCATGCATCGATTGCGAGATCGACGATCGCTTGTGCACCTCTCGCGCTTCTCGTTTCCGTTTCCTCTCGTCATGATCAAGTCTCTTCCCTGAACGCTACAGATCGGTCAAGAATTGTATCAAGATCAATTCAGCAAACCTTCGGCTTGGGATGAAGGAAAAAATATATATATAATGTGTTTGGTTTGATCAGCCCTGGAACTCACCTTCTGAAATTCTTCGATATACTCTCCTTGTGGCATGATGCAGGAACGTGAGTTTTTAAAATTCTTGTCGTGAAGTCGGTTGTGGTTGGGTTTTGGAAAAAGTGTCTCAAACAAGAAGTGGTCAAGTGGGAATGAAGGCACGGGCTGCGGAGGGGGGCTGCTGCTGCGCCAGGTGGCATGCATTGCGGGGCCAGTGACATCTGTGGTGGTCACACAGATCCCAGCCTGTCACCGATCTCAAAGTCGAGCACCGGTCATGAGCCAACCCACAACAACCCAAGACCACCATCTACATACTTGACTCATCCAAGGAAATTCAAACAATCAAGCTAGCTGTTCATATATACCGAACGTGGAAGATCTAGGGACGGAAAAACTATAATCGAGGATCGAATAATTCATGGCAGATCGTGTAGGAACCATTAGAAGAAAAAAAAAACTAATCCTTCAGGAACCTCGTTGGAGAGAGCTATAGCTAACCAGCCATGGGATTCACGTAGGGTCGAGGCGGACGTGGAGGGTCAGGAGGGAACAGTCGAGGAAGAGGTGGCGGACGAGCTGGGGGAGATGACAAGCCGAAACGCGAAGCTATCCTGGATTTGGCCAAGTTTGCCGACAAACGGGTTCGCGTCAAGTTCATGGGAGGTCGAGAGAGTTGAGTGGCAAGAGAACTTTGAGATCAGGATATGCCTTCACATACGTTTCTGGATCTTTGGCACTGAGGCTTTGTGTTTTTTTGGAATTAGTTACCGGTATTCTCAAGGGCTATGATCAGCTTCTAAATCTGGTGATGGATGAGGTCGAGGAGATCCTTCGCGGTATGTGTTTGGTCCATTTTCTTTTCTTCAAATGGATTGGAGAACACTGACCCGAACAAAAACCTTCTTACCTTCAATTGGGACGTCTAGAACCAGAGGGTGCTACCGTCACTTCACCGCCAAAGACAAGATCACTAGGACTGGCGGTTATCAGAGGAACTAGTTTGGTGGTCATAAACCCCGTTGATGGGTTCGTCTTTCTTTTTCTTATCTTCTTCTCTTTTTTTTTTCGAAACATCTTTACAACAGATATCACAGAAATTACGGTCTCACTAACAATTTCCTGCTCCCTCCCTATCCAAAATACGCATGTGCTTTTACTCGCTCCCAGTTACGAAGAAATTGCAAATCCGTTTATCAATCAACAGTAACACGAGTCACCAACCTATGTACATAACTTCTTGGTTTTTTTTTGTTCCATCGGTCTACATGATATACATATATTTTTCTCAAGATTCATGAATCAGAAAAAATTCCAACCTAGTTTAACAAGTTTGAAAGTCTTCAACGAATTATAACAAGAATGGCAAAACTTCAATTCGTAGATCCTTGCTTCCTGATCTCTGTCTTGCTGCGAATACTCAGGGCCATTCATGGGAAGAGTAGCCACATAGACGATTATGTACGATTTCCATGGGCGTTCCTGCTCTCACAAGAAAAATTTGATTATGATCATATACTGAAATTCACCATACACATGTACTCAGGGCCTGGTGAGGGAGATCTGGGACCCCGGCCCAGCATATATGTGACCTCAAGATATGGTAGACATCTGTTGTTTGGCGGCTACAGTAACATGGCTGATTGCCCAGAATGGAGTCATGCAGACCTGATCTGTGGGGGTATTTAGTTTTTCGATAAGATACATCCAACGAAGATTCAGCTGAGCTGTACGACGACTTGGTAGCCCGGCCGAATACTGGTCAGCGTCTCCCAATGGTTAATTTTTCTGGTCCAAGATTTTGTGGAACCTAGGTTGTATCAACTGGCACCTGTGAAATTGCCAGTGGAAAGCAGTGACAGACTCAAGATGATGTTACCATCTTGGAAATTATCTGTTTCGAGAGTTTCTCTTATTTTTGTTTTTATCCCCAGAGAAATTATTTGGGGCTGAGGTTGATTTTATACTATGAGCAATATTGATTATTGTTATCAAAATAGGAAGGAGAAAATAATAAAAAAATACAAAGGTTTCTTTCCAACAAGCCCTCCAATATACGTATCTCGTTTACCCTCTGATGGCCCGAATCGATGAAGATGAACTTGATCACTTTTTACGAGATGATTTTTTCTGAGAAGATTTAGAATCTCGTTTGGCTTGTTTCTTGACTCTTTCAATTGATCGAGTAGCCTTACTCTCATACGGAATCTTCTTCTTTTTGTTATTTTTACTACTACTGCTGCTACTTTTGGGTTTCTTATTGTTGACAGTTGTATTCCGAGATTGATGAGTGGACTGAACAGGATTTTTATAATCAGGTGCGTCCCGAGATTTTCGATTTGCTGAGGAGGAAGAGGACTGCATGTTGTGGAAGTTTCGGTCAGGATGGGGTTGGTAGTTGGATTGAGCTTGATGATGACTGGAGTTAACCATCAGGACGGTATGGTCGACTTCCAAGGGCTCGATGGTAACCGTGGTAGTGGTAGTATGTGACCCAGAGCCGGTTCCATCCTTCGACTGTTCCACAAACTTTTCGACGGTCCTTGTCGGCTTCGGCTGACTGTTTGACACTGGATCCTGTCCCTCAAACGCATCGACTAGCATCCAGCAAGACAGAGAGAAAGAATCAGATTAGAGAATCTCGAAAGATTCATTATCGAGGGATCGACTTACTCCCATACCATTCAGTCTGCTGTTCGATGGCCTCCTTGATCTTCGACATTCGGGCATCCTTCAACTGACGTCTGAACTCCAGCTTTTCTTCCCGAGCTCGTTGGGCGGCTCGTTCCTGGGCAGCGAGTTTTCCAGCCTTCTTCCTAGCCGAGAATCCAGTGAGATATTCACTATAAAAAGATAAGATGATCATCAGTGCCCGACTGAGAAAATAAATGAAGAATAAGATTTGTGCTTACTAGCGATCCTTCTCGTCGTATTCGACCGCCTGAGGTCGTCGGGCAGTCTTGAATCCGCTCCCGCTATTCGTCTTCTTCGTGCTAGATGGTTTCCTGTTGGGTAGCTTGTTCCTCTTCAGCCATTCTTTTGAGTTGGTATGTGGCATGGTTGGGTTCTTTCTAGTTGAGCCTGCATAACATGTATGCGTCTTGGCTTGGATTTCTTGATAAATCTTGCCCGCGCCGTCTTCACCGGCGCAGCTCGCTCGCGCGGGACGCTGGTTTCCGAGCACGAGCAACTGCGGCGCATGTCTTAGAGCAACTCCAACGGAGCCGCGATCGGGCGTTCGGGAGCGAACTTTGATGGGAGCTTTCCGAAGTGTAGCGCAGGTGGGCGTCGTCGACGTACACGGTGCCGCCTCCTTTTACAGAAGGCCACATGGCCAGGCCGGCCACCTGGTTCCTATAAGCGCCTCTGGCCCGACTAGCCGGTAACGGGGTTAGAGCATCTCTAACGGTCTGGGGGTGGATTGGCCTGGAGTCAAATGTCCCAAGCTGTCACTGATCTGTCACAGTTGTGCTAAATGCGGACTGTGAAGTTGAGCGGGGGTGGGTGAAATGCGGCCAAAGCTGCTAAACTCAGCAGCTGAGGGCAGCTTTGGTCCACCCCCACAATGTTCAGCAGCTCCGCTGTGGTAATTATTCCTGTGTTTCTATGAAAAAAAATATAAAAATTTATTATTATCTCTCTAAATATTAAAGATATGGTAAAAATAATATCAAAAATGGATTCCTCAGGTAAAACAACCCCTACTCACTCACTACAACTACCCTCTTATCTCTACTAGTTCAGAAGTTACACTTATCTCAAGCTGTCACAGGAGCTTTTCTTTATTATTATCCTGATCACATCTCATTTTGAATACTGGATGCATATTTCATATTGAATTCCTTTACTGGCTTATATTTCATATTGAATTCCTTTGTAGGTGCACATGCATTCCTTTGTAGTAGGACCTTGTAGGCTAGCCAAAATCCCTCAAGGCTGTGCTCTCACCAGCCAAATTCCCTCACCTGCATTCACTAGACTAGCTAAATTCCCTCATTGTATTTACAGGACAGCTAAATTCCCTCACCTGCATGTACCCTGGAGCTAAAATCCCTCACTTTTGTCTATGTAAGGAGGCCTCTGCCTGGCAGTTGTACCTTTCATCATCCCACCAGTGGGCCAGATCATCTCAACCCACCTTTATACTTACCACCCATTATATTACCAGTCACAGTCATATAACCACCCTTATTTTTAGGGCTTTAATAAAAAAACCCGCATTTTCCGCGTTTTGACGCGCTTTTGCTGCGCGCATTCCGCGTTTAAACGCGCATTTTTTAATTAATTTATTTTTGCCATTAATTTTAATTTGGGTCTTAGTTAAACGACTCCCAAATATTGGAGTTCCGACTCCCAAATATTTGGGACGTCGAGAGGACTGGCTGCGGACGGTCCTCTCGACGTCGACCCCCCTATATTTTTTTTTCCCCGAAACTTTGGGAGTCGGACCTCCAAAGGGTCCGACTATTTTGGGAGTCGGAAATCCAAAAAAAATAAATAAAAAAAAATAAAAAAAGAAGAAATCCCCCGGGGGGATTTGGGAGTCGTTCCTCCAAGAAATGGGAGTCGGAAAGACAAAAAACATAATAAATAGAAAGCCATCAAAAAGGGCCTTAATAAAAAAACCCGCATTTTCCACGTTTTGACGCGCTTTTGCTGCGCCGCAGCACACGCGCATTCCGTGTTTAAACGCGCATTTATTAATTATGCATAATTTATGCATAATTTCGCCTCCAGGGGGCGCGTGCGCGTACCACAAGTGCCTGCATGAAGTTTGAAAATTTTCCTGCAGGCACCAAACAAGAAAACCACTCACCACAATCAAAAAAGGACATCACCCCCCCTCTAAACCTTCAACACACCACAACTCAGTCAAAAATCAACCAAAATCAACAAAAAAAATACCAAAATCACCCATTTTTTCTCCTCTTCGACCCCATGGATTCGGATTTTTTCGATTCACCTCCGGCTCATTTCCAACTGGCAGGTACACTCTAAAATTCAAAAAATCATAACTTGGCCATTCCTCAACCAAAATTCACAAAAAAAATACCAAAAGCACCCATTTTGCATGCTCTTCACCGCCACACTCTTCAAATTTGCTGATCCATCTCTTGTTTTTTTTTAAGTCATTGTTAGGCCTCAAACTTCAACTCTGAATAACTCAGCCAATCCTCAACCAATTGATACAAGAAAACCATCAATCAACTTCTGTCTTGATCCTCTTGACCGCCACTGTCTCCGTTTTTGCCGCTGGACCTCTTGTTTTTTTTAATCATCACTGGGACTCTCAATTGACTCAAACTTCAACTCTGAATAACTCAGCCAATCCTCAACCAAATTCTTCAAGAAAACCATCAATCATCTTCTTTCTTGATCTCGTGACCGCCACCGTCTCTGTTTTTGCCGCTGGACCTCTCGTTTGTTTTAAATCATTGCTGGAACGCTAGTAGGACTCAAACCCCAACTCTGAATAACTCAGCCAATTCTTGACCAATTTCTTCAAGAAAACCATCAATCAACTTGTTTCTTGATCCTCTTGACCGAAACCGTCTCCGCTTTTACCGCTGGACCTCTCGTTCTTTTTTAATCATTGCTGGAACTCTAGTGGGTTTGAAACTTCAACTCTAAATACCTCAGCCGTTTCTCAACCATTTTATTCATTCAAAACACTAATAATCTTCTTTCTTGATTCTCTTCACCCCCAAATTCTCCGTTTTTGCCGCTGGACCTCTCGTTTTGTTTAAATCACCGCTGGAACGCTAGTAGGTTTGAAACTTCAACTCTAAATACCTCAGCCGTTTCTCAACCATTTTATTCATTCAAAACACTAATAATCTTCTTTCTTGATTCTCTTCACCCTCACACTCTCCTTTTTTGCCGCTGGACCTCTCGTTTTGTTTAAATCACCGCTGGAACGCTAGTAGGACTCGAACCCCAACTCTGAATAACTCATCCGTTTCTTGACCAAATTCTTCAAGAAAACCTTCAAAAATATTCTTTCTTGAACTTCTTGACAGCCACCATCTCTGTTTTTGCCGAAACACCTCTCCTTGTTGGTTATTCATTGCTCAATCGCTAGTAGGACTCAAACTACCTCTGCGATTATCTCAGCCAGATCTCAACCGATTTCTTCTTGAAATACATCAAAAAAACTCTTTCTTGATTCTTTTTACGCCTACGGTCTTGGTTTTTCTTGTTGAACCCCTCGTCTTTTTCAATTCATCACTCAACTTCGCCAAACTCCTGCATAACTTGTCTGAGAGTCAAAGCCACATCAACCCGCTCCTTCTTTCGGGTGCAACAGCTGAGGATACTTCTGACGTTAACCCCCTCCCCGGTACTACTCAAGACGAAGTCAGCCAACTTCCTGAAACTGTGTCTACAGCTGCTACGTCAACCACTCCGTCTGCCAGTCTTCATTCGCTAGCGCCGCCTCCCGCGTTATCGTATAGGACCCGGGAGCAACTAGATGATGTGGTTCAACAGTGGGCGTTGGAGCATGGCTATGCGCTCAAGAAGACGAACACTACAACTCAGAGGGGGGAGGATCGGGCGACTTTTAAATGTGACCGTTCTGGCGAACCGGATGAACCAAACCCAGACAAGTTGGGCAAGTCCAAAAAGATCGGCTGTCCCTTTTCAATGCTGGGCAACTTCTACAAGAGGACGGGACTCTACCGAATCACGATCAAGAATCCAAATCACAACCACCCCGCTTCGGAGGATCCATACATTCATCTGATTCACAGAAGATTGACCGATTCCCAAAAAGAAAAGGTCACAGAATCGACTAACGCCGGTGTTGCCCCCTTGAAGATTAAGTCGGCTTTAATTCAAGACACAAATACCCCCTCGCATGCCACCCTCAACACCATTTACAATCACCAAAACCAGATGCGCATTGACCAGCTTCAAGGGCGCACTCCAATTGAGGCTCTGGTCCAACAAATCCGGCAGCATCAGTTTTACTTCATGATCGACAATGTTGAAGGGCACATGACGTCGTTCTTTTTCGCTCACCCACGTTCACTTGAATTGGTCAAACGCTACCCGACCACGATCCTCCTTGATTGCACTTACAAGACAAACAAGTTCAACATGCCCCTGCTTCATATCGTAGGTATGAATTCATGCAATCGGTCATTCTCAGTGGCTTTTTGTTTCCTCTCAGGTGAAAAGGAACCGAATTATACGTGGGCCCTGGAGCATCTCCATCTAGCAATGGATAAAGAATCCCCCTCAGTCATCGTCACCGACCATGAACAAGCGGTCATAAATGCGATCAAGAAAGTCTACCCAAATGCCAACCGTATCCTGTGCTCTTGGCACATTTGGAAGAACATCGAGAAGAATTGCCGGAAGCATTTCAAGGGCGATGATAGCAATGAGAAATGGTCTACGTTTGAATTGGCATCGAAGAAATTGAGAATGTCGCCAACATTGAATGAGTATGAGGAGAATTACACCGAGCTCTCCAAATTGTGGACTCCATATACGGCGGCCTACTTGATCTCGGTAGTCCTCCCGCTGAAGGAGCACTTTGTCTCTTACTTAATCGATCGGCACCCACACTTTGGAAATCACATCACATCGAGAGTTGAAAGTCTCCACGCGTACCTCAAAAGATTCATCAACTCCTCGACAGGGTCCTTTGCAGCGGTCGTCAAGCAGATTCACCAGTCCCTCAAAAACCAGCTGCATGAAAGATACATTGAGTCCGCGCAGCATCAATACAAAAGACTTACCGGCCTGCCTCCGTCGGTCGCCAATCTCAATGGAATCATCTCCCACTTTGCCTTGAAGATCATTCACTCATTTCACGTGGCCAAGGCACCAACAAGCACATATACAGGTAACTACTTGTCTTCCATGGGGCTTCCTTGCATCCACCAGGTCCACAACGCCACACGCAAGGGGACAAAGTTCACCGCAGACGATTTCCATGCTCAGTGGCACGTCAAGACTGATCTGGCCGTAAGTTCCTCATTTATCAAGGGAATCCCAATCAATTTTGCAGATGTATTCTGATTTATTTTTTTCACTCATCTGATCATTTAACAGAAGCGACTTAGTGACAACGAAGATGCCCCGGAGACACAGCAGAAGGGCCATGAAGACACGTTCCT